TCTTCTGGATCGTCCTCTCATTCGCAGCAGCAGCTTCAGTTACCGGAGATCAAGATTCTATTCGCAAGCTTCTCCAGATGGGGAAGTTGAAAGCCGAAAATCTCACGTGGCATCGAGAACCCTACATGAGATTCAGCTAGGGACGCGGAATCTCCCCGAACCATCAACCTCGTTGTGTGCCGTGTCGTATCCCGCGATTAACCACGATAATAGGTCTGAGCACAGGCCCCGACCTCAGCAACACGACTGCTTCACCGAATTCCCACTTACCGTTAGTCAGACCTGGACGAAATGTTTAGACTGTTGACTCGTGATGAGATACGGAATGTGGCTGTTTCTAGTCCAAAGTCTCTACAGAATTCTCCGTCGCGGCCAGAGACGCCATCTGCAAGGGGAATGGTAACTTACAAGGGGTGGATTCGCCGGGGTTGAAAGACATCACCCCATTTAAGGCATCCGAATGAGCCGCCTCACTTTGCTAACGGCTTGACTTCGGAATCTGCGCCTAAGGTTTCCCACTGCTGCCAATCAAGGCCCAGAAATCCTTGGCTTCATTCCATGGCGGCTATCACATAGCGCTAGCTGGCATTCAGGATGCGAGCGGAGGGCTAAAGAGGGCTGATTTCTACAGCGAGATACCAACCCGCCGGAAATCACGCCAGGGGCTGAGTGTCGAGTTACAAATAGTCCATCCACTAGCTCGTAGGGGCGATCCATAGAGACTCAACATGTACCAGTGAAGTAAGCCCTAATATGAAACTTGGGGCCATGATATCTACCGTTCCACTCAGAAGCACCCATGAGTAATACGGGGAACATGCCAGAGTCGCATCCGCGATGTTTGAATGCATGCACGATACAAAGTAAGAATCAACAGCCAAGCCCTTGAAGCAAATCACCCTGGGAAGGCGTATGATCCCTGAGTGACAGCTGGATGCTAGGGCAGGGTTACTTCAAGTTCCTGTGGAGAATGCCCTCTTTCGATCAACTAGGCTACTAGGCGCGCTGTCGCTACGTTGACCGAATTTGAGAATTCCGTGCCGTGTTTTGCCTCGCATGGTCAAAGCTCTATCATATTTCCTCTTGGCAACCAAGATGTATGCTACGGGATGTAGCATGGATGCTGGACTCATGTCCATCCCGCATGCGTTGTTGAATGCAGATCTGCAGGTCCAAGCAAGTCATCGCCGACACTAAGAATTCCATGATAAAAGCAGCCTCCACGGCACATTCTTGATCACTCAACTGTATTGTAAGACGTGGTTCAGCTACTAGGCCGAACCCTCTTCGTCAGTGCTTTAGACGATCTGTCACCTTTCGGTGGGAATCGACCCTATTCGTTACCGCCTTTTCTTCTTTTTAACCAAATCCGTACTGCCAACCACCCTATCTGGATGCCTCCTGAGACATCTATCGGGCCTGTTTCAACATTCTACCGACTACTTCACGCCTCGATGATGAACTAGCCCGTCAGCCTACCACATTGTTTACTCACAAGTTCGTTATTAGACGAAGCGATAACGGGTTTTCTGAGAAGTACGTTCAACTCTAGTCGTATGTGAGGAGAAGTTTCCGGTACTGACTACCAAAGATTGAATCAACGATATGGAAATCATGGAGCTCGTTGATAACAAACCACAATCTCACCGCTTCAACTGCGATTGGAAGACGTGCAATAAGGTAGCGTCCTACTTGACTGCGTGGATAAGCAACACGCATGTGCCACCTTTTCCATTTGCTGATGATATTCTTTTGTCAGGGATTCAAGCGCAAGTCCGACTTGCAACGACACTACCGAATTCACACAAACGACCGGCCGTTCCCGTGCCCAGCGCCAGGCTGCGAGTCAAGCTTCATCCAGAGAAGTGCTCTGACGGTTCACTTACGAATTCACACTGGAGAAAAGCCCTATGAGTGCCAGTATCCCGGCTGTGACAAGCGGTTCGCAGATGTAAGTTTGATTACGCGTCGTACAGCCTGGCGAAGAATACCCCAAATGGTCCTGTTGTGTGCACAGTTGTATTAACTTCTTCAAAGTCATCCAGCTTTTCTCGACATCGTCGATTACATGTAGGAAAACGCCCTTATACATGCGCCGTTGCCACATGCAGAAAACAGTAAGTTGAAGCCCGTCGGGTCGCCAAATTGATTTTGCAAATCTAAGTCTTCCGAAGCTTCGTCCGAAAAGTGGCAATGGTGCAACACCACAAGCTCCATCACAGAGCCAACGACGACTCTAAGGAATTCACGGGCCAATATTGGAACTCGCCACCGCGCCACGATGAAGTAGCCGCTACAAGTACTGCTGTCATGATGCCACCAGGGGTTGATGCAGCGTCGAGGGAGAGCCCACGCACCGCAGGACGCACCAGCTCCGCTGAGCTTCATAGCGACGATCGTGCTGGAGTTGCCGAACGTTTCGCAGAATCTCCTCTCGCCAATTCGTACAGACAACCATATGGAAGAGTTCACTACGACTACTCAACGGCCGACGGGCAGTTCTTCTACGATGATTCCCACAGTTCCCAGGGATCGGAGCAAGCTTCAAGTCCAATTGACGACTTCGCGAGCCAACAAGTCAGCTCTGGATGGCCTCCTCACCACTGCAATCCACCGCCTTCGTATTCGAACCCTATTTCCGTACCGGAACTATGGACGCCGTGCGTCACTGCCTCGGGCGGGCATACGGCTGGATTCTACGGTCATGAAACGATGTCATCTCCGCCCGACTTACAGCCAGTCTTGGAATTTCCACCAGCTATCCCGTACGAGGTACCGCGACCACACGAGTTGAGTTGGAATCCTTATCAGCCATGGCCGCAAGAAGGGGAGGTGCCATGCACAAGATTTATATCATCCAAGGATCTCGACAAGTTTAGACCCAGCTCTGTTCCACTGATTTAGGATTCTCCGATATTGATTCGCTTGCTTCACATACACAACAACAATTATTGGGTCGACAAATCTTCATCATTATGTAAAATAGCATGAGTGGACATATATGCCTCTCCTTGGGACTAGCGTTGCGAAATAGCACGATACAGTAATAATACAAATTCATCAAGCGAAAACTGCATCTCGTAGCTCTACAATCCTGTTTTCGAAAAACACGTGACGTTTTTTCTCGCTGTCATTAGCATTCGAAAACAACGAGCGAGATCTGATACGAACGTTTTGATTGACGAGTCGTTACATGTTTGGTTAAGACTGGGTGAATCAACTGGTGAGACATCGTCAGGAATTCCATCTATTCCGCCGAATCTAAACCGGCAAGGCAAGCCGAATAATGTGATGTCTCAGGTACTAGACCAGCCTCAGTTGTATGCCTGTCCAGGAAATGATGACGCACCGCGGATTATGCTGAAAAGGGTTGTGAATCGGTCTACTCTGGGGCTGTTAGGACGGTTAAAAACGACAATGCGAGAGCCAATATGACAATGCACAGTTGTCTGCTATGAGCGCTCACGACATAACAATTTCCCCCTGAATCCCGAGCCGGAGGATAGCAGATTTCTAACACGACTCAAAGTCAAGGCAACCGCAATCCTTCCAGACGTCCCGGCTGGTGGGGCCGGCGCCGCACAAAATCCGGGTCTGCATGCGGGATATCGCCGGCGGAAACCAGCGCGCATTCGGACGGTGATCAGGATTGCATGCATGGCGGCGGGGACCCGTGGTGGATTCAAGGTCGCTTCGAGCCTCTTTAAAACTAGTTGGTTGAGTTAGTCCGGGGATTTATGCGAGACTTCAACGGACTCGGTGTTCTGATGGTTTGACTGGCTGGTTTAGTACAGGGGAGCTCGCGCTTGCAACTTCCTGATTGGCAGCGGTGTGGGGGGTCCGATGCAGTGTCAGCCATGCATTTTGCGGATGGAGATTCGAGATCGGCATTTGTGAAAACTGGTGGGATTTCCCCCGTAGTTTTTGAGTTTTGCCCAGACACTCTTCTGGTGCTCTTGTGGCTGTTATGGTGTTCTGTTCACTGATGGCGGGAGCAAAAAACTCATGGCCATAGTTATGGCCCCGGAAACCAAGAGATAGGCCCCAGCCACAGCCATTTTGAGTTTTGATACGCGCTAAGCGCCAACTCATCACTTAGTCTGGGGCCAACGTCATAGGCCACAGTCCGTTTCTTGCTCAATCTCATTAGCCCTGAGCTATCCGTGGATGATGTCAATTGCAAAATGGCTTTCACATGATACAGACTAGAAGACAACCCATTGAAAGAACTGCCTTCGACTTTGAAGGGCTGCGGAATAACCTCGGAAATTGAGTCCATGCAGCTGCAAGTCAAGTTAGCGGTTGGCCACAGATGACGCTAACAGAGCCAAAGTTGTTTCGGTGTTTGTTCAGCAACAAAGAAGGCCGGGACCTTATCTCTGTGCAACAGTCTAATGCAGCTCTTTGCCTCTTCTTCCGGTGCAGCATTCGCCCTTCCCGACGGCAGCTCCCGACATCAAACTTGCCAACATCAACAGCCACCAAGAGGATGAACCCGGGGGAGGCAACTCACGTGTGTGGCCAATGGCCACTGCAGATCGCTCGATCGCTAACTGGCTAGGCGGTGAGGTGGATGCTGCATGGCCCGGTGGGTCGGCTGGCGGACCGTTAATGCCGTTATTACCTGCCTCTCCCCCAACCTTCCATGACCCCGCAGCGGTGCAGCACTCGCTATCAGAAACCACTCCATCTCACTCATCCTTCCTCTCTCAATTTTTTTCATCTCTCTCAATTCTCCCAACATTCAGCCTGAGAGTGTGTGAAGAGAGAGGCGAAGAAGCGAAGACGACGGGAGAATTGGAACCGTGACATCGAATCATGCCTCAAAGAAAAGACAGGGACCCCAATGCATTTCCGACCCGACAGCTGCTCGTTCTTGGTAAATCACACCCCTCCATCTTGGTCTCTATGGCCTGCAACGCGCTGACACCGCAAACTCAGCAATATGTCGATTCTCAGAGCCCATCGCCTTCAACTCCATCCTGGCGTACACGTTCGACATGGTAAGGGACTTGGGCGTTGAAGACAAGGAAGCACCTTTTTACGCTGGTCTTTTGGTTTCTGCCTATGCGGTCGCGGAAGCTCTCACCTCCATGGGCTGGGGCGCGTTGTCCGACCGTGTCGGGCGGAAGCCCGTGGTGCTTTTCGGGCTTGTGGGTGTGGCCACCTCCAGTTTAATTTTCGGTCTCGCAAAAACCTACTGGGTCGCACTCTTGGCACGATTCATCGGAGGATCATTGAACGGTGAGTCTCACAACCTCTCAAGAAACGCAACACAACATGACGCTGCAAAAGACTGCAATGTCCATAGCGTTCAACCAAACCCCAAACCCCAAGACCTCTTTCAATGACATCATTCTGGTTTCCACGCCTCATTTTCATCATCGAAAGCTAATGGTTTAACTAGGCAACGTGAGCGTTATGCAAACTGTTTGGCTCACCCTCCCGTTGAATTTTGGCATTCCCTAACTGTTAGGCAGATGGTGGCTGAGATGGTGAAAAATCCCGACCACGAACGTGAGTTTTCCGCCAAAATCCGGGGGCAAAGTCCGGTGGCTCTGTCTTACTCGGCGATCCCCTGTGTAATCTTGCTAACAATTTTGATTAGCCAGGGCGTATGCCGTGCAGCCGTTCGTCTGGACTCTTGGCGGCATCATTGGCTCTGCCATGGGTGGCTTCCTCGCCCAACCGGCCAAGTTTTACAAAATCTTTCCCGAGGACGGACTGTTTGGACAGTATCCCTATTTGCTGCCGAATCTCGTCTCCGTCATTGTCATCATAGCCGCCGTTATCCAGGGAATCTTCTTCTTGGAGGAGACTCTTCCGCCGAAACATGACTCGGAGGAGGACTTCACTGAAGCCGTGGCCGATGACGACTTTATCGACGAGAGAACCCCACTCCGAAGGGCCCCGCGACGGAGCCTTAACCACCGCCGGTCGATTTCCACCAGCCACTCGAGGCCGCGTTTCGTGGAGTCGAGTTTGCCTCTCCCGATTGAGCACGACTTTGATCTCAGACGTTCATCTTTTGGAACGGTGCACTCGATCAAGGTTGTTTCTGACGAATTGAGGAGCGATTTGCTGCGCCAGAATGGCCGCCAGAACGGCCGCGCTCAGCAGCCGCCAAACAACAAGCCCAAAGTCAAGACTTTCAACTTCACCGTTATCATGCTCACGATTACACTGGTCATTTTCTCGTATCACCAAATGGCGGCTGGCTCGCTTCTCCCCACCTATATCCTCGATGAACCCGCGGCGCCTCACGGCCAGCTTGATCTGAGAGGTGGCCTGGGTTATGACGTGCATGACGTTGGAACATACCTGGCAGTCAATGGTTTTCTGGGACTTCTCATTCAGGGTGTCATTTTCCCGATTTTCGTCGAGAAGGTCGGCGTTTGGGGCTCCTTCATCTGGATGGTTGCGCTCTACCCAACGGCTTACATCCTGATGCCGTTCTTGTCGGCGTTCCCCGACGTCGTCACCCAGGCCGGAATCTACTTTTCTCTGGTGCTGCAGAGTTTCTACGGTATCATCGTCGGCCCGGTCACGCTGATCCTGCTCAAGGACGCGACGCCCTCGCCTCAGGCGCTCGGCAAGGTCAACGGCTTGGCCATGTCCGGCGCTTGCCTCGCCCGAACGGTTTCTCCGCCTCTTGTTGGTGTTATTTACAGTTTCGCAGGCTCTGCAGCGGCCTGGTGGAGTTGCTCTGGTATTGCTTTGATTGGAGTCTTGCAGGTTCTCTGGGTCCCGAGGAAGCATATTCATATCGACCATGTGGAGGTCGACAACGGGCTGGCCCGGCAGCTCACGAACAACTCGCAGAGAGGAGATGAAAACCGCGGCCGGGTTTGAGAGACGATTTTCACACATACATGGATATGGAGTTAATGGGCTTTGATTTGATACGCATTTTGGCCACCCCTTATGATGATGCTGTTTGGTTTCTTGTTGCAGTTATCACGGGTCATACACGGGAGTTCTTCACGATTTGTTCATCTACTCACGGCACTCACGGCTGAAGTTGGTACGATGCAGTTTGTCAGTGCTTGGTTTTAATGATGGCTTCTTTTTAGGATTATATAAAACGTTTCGTTGCTACTTGCGCCCCTTTTGAATATGAGAGTTTGAGATCAGCAACAGCACAGTTGCAGTCAAGATTACGCAGTATGCGTACATCAGAAGACGGCAGTGATCACAACGCGATTCTAGGTTTACGAAGACAACTTGCCAAAGCAAGACCTCCCACCCACACCACATCTACTGTCACCCCCGCAACAGCAACCATGTCCACTGCAGCAATTACAACAATGGCTACGCCTGAACTTTCTAATGCTACAAGAGCTGCGACTATGATGCCTAAGGTCGCAGCTATGCTTATGTTGGACAAAAGACTGGGAGATAGGGTTGGTGCGGATAGACGCTTCGCCTATGGAGAACGCCTTGATTGATGACAGACATGCGATATCCAAAAACGCAATAGTCAACTTATGTACGCCGAAATTGAAACTCGAACACAAACATAGCGAGGACGACAGGCACGTACACGATGAAAACGTCATTAAGCAAAACGGCGGAAGGAGCATAGGGGCAAAAGTAAATCTGCAAGATTGCGATATGATTGCCTCAGTGATATTATTGAACCTAGGTCATAGGTTGGCGCTAAAACGTCAGACCTCAGACACAGCATGAGTACTAGTGTCGGCACCTGTAGGCTATTGGATTACACTAATATTTATACAAGAAGTAAAGTATGTACGGTCCTTTTATTACAGTTCCAAGGACGTTTGAGCAACTTGAGGGGATGCCGCCGGGTCGGCTAGTCAGCTACGGCACATGCGTCCGTCGTTGGCAACGGACCAGGCATCGCTGCCAACAGCAGCAACGTTGTACAACAGTCCCTTGGGATCGTACTTCTGCTTGATCTCAAGAAGCTTAGGGTAGTTGACACCGTAAAATGTGTTCTGCCAGTCCTTCTGCTGGAAGTCGGCCTCGTTGATGTACGCACCGGCGCCGGGAGTGGCGGCCTCGATGACAGGCTGGACGACCTCGGTCATGCGGGTTTGCTCGGCGACCATCTCGGAGTAGGGGACCTCGAAGCTCCAGGGCAGGGTCAGAGAGACCTGGACGATGGAGTCGCGCCATTGAGGCAGGACGGCGTTGTCACCGCCAAAGTGAGAGACGTTCAGTCCGACACCAATATAGGTGACACCGAGCTCGACGAGAGCCTGGGCAGTAGGGCCGAACTCGGGAAGCTTGGAACGGGGGAGTAGACGGCCGCCGAAGAGCTGGGTTCCAACTTGGATATTACCAGAGGGAAGAGGGCCCCAGTAGTTGTTGTAGTGGTCGCGGTAGTTGTCGAAAGCAGTGTAAGTGGGTTCGAGGTCGGCACCCAGGAGCGCGAGAGCATCGGTGAGAGGCTTGAGAATTGTCTCAACCTCGGCCTGGGTCTTATTGTAGGCAGTCATAGCGGGAGACTGCAGGAAGCCGGGGCCGAAGAAGTAGATGATCATGACACCCTGGTCGACGATAGCAGGGAGGGCGGCGTGGAAGACATCAATGACGGAGTACAGCAGTGCCGTATTGTTGGTGTCGACAGTCACGGCAAACTTGGCGCCGGCGACGGGGGCATCGGGATGAGCCTTGACAGTGATAGAGGTCACGACGCCGTAGTTGCCGCCGCCACCTCCGCTAAGAGCCCAGTAAAGGTCTTGGTTCTCAGTTCGAGATGCCGTGACGAGCTCTCCGGTGGGAGTGACGACGTCGAAAGACAGAGTATTGTCGGCAGCCAAACCATAGATGGCTGTGACAATTAGCGACAGGATTACTGATATTGGTCACAAACTTGACACTTACTTGCAAGGGCACTGTGTCCACCAGCCTGGATATATCCTCCAGCGAGACCAACAGTAGGACATTCTCCGGTCACAACAACCAAGCCAGCCTCATTAGCTGCAGCAATGGCCTCGAAACCTTGAATACCGGCGCCGGCCTTGAGAGCCTTCCCGACGTACTGCTCATCCTCCCAGTCGACGATCTCGGTGCCCTTCATGTAGTGGGTCCAGACGGCAAGACCACCGGCGCCGGTGGAGCGGCCATTGTAGTCGTGGCCGGTGTTGCGGATGACGAAACGCACATTCTTCTCATCGGCAAACTTCAACGCCGCCTGGATGTCCGCAGGCCCGGAAGCATTGACGGCGTAGCTGACATAGTTGCCCAGAGTGCACGAAGCATTTTGCGGCAGGAAGGGATCGCAGCTCGCGTTCGCGAACAGGGGTGCCATCACGGAAGAAGAGGACTCCATGCTGTGCGCACACGCGAGTCATGGTCAGCAGCTGTTCATCTCGTCGTGCAGTTGATCACCTCCCAGATGAGCAAAACTCGGCCGGACGTGCAGAAACCGCGGTGAGGGCAGAAAAAAAAAAGAACTCAATTGCAGAGCAGAAAAAAGACGGGAAAATACTTACTGAACCTCGGAGTAAAGCCACTCATCCTGCAGCCGTGCGCACTCAGTCGCATTGTAGTTCGCGCCGTGGCATGGAGTTCCCAATGGGACCGTAGCCACGAGACGCCCGCTGACGGTCGCGTTCAGCTTCGCCCACTCACACGGGGACGGCCATCCCTCGTCGCCGGGGAGATACTTGCACGAGGGCGTCGTGGAGTTGCTGCCCACGGGCGAGGCCGCGGCAACGCTTCCGCTGGCCAGCGCCAGGGAAGCTAGATTAAGAATCGAGGAGCGCATCTTGAATCTCTCTGGCTTGGCGATGAAGAGAGGTGTGAAGGGGACGGAAGCTGGAACGTGCTTCTTTCGCTAACCCGCTGCAGGAAGGCAGAAAAAGTTGAGGGCACGAGGAGAAGGGGGATCAGAAAGGGGGCGTCACGCGCGGGAACCGTGGGAGGGTGTGAGGGTTTCTAATATCCAGTCTGCGACGCTGCCTGGTGGTCTGTCGAATCTCGCGGCTTTCCCCTCAATTCGTCTGCGTAATTGGATCCGGGTCCCGTACACCCGCTAGACGAAGGGAAAAGTGGCGATTATTCGGTGAGACAAGCGGGATGCTGGTGAGCCTGGCTGTGGTTCCGGCCTAGGTAAGCAATGCCAGGCGGTTTCCGCGCATGTCTGCACAATTCAGGGCATGATCTCCGTAAGCGGAGGACAAAATACCGCCTCCGAGTCGTCCGGCCGGCAGTCGGGGTTCCTGCATATGCAAGGGAACTTTTGGTTGGTACCAGCTGAAGAATCCAACGGCATCGAAAACGGGCTTTGTCCTCTTTAGCATAAAGGCAAGCACAGCCCTAGGCTCTTGTTCGAAACCCCTTGAACCAACAGCAGCTGCAAATCAGCGAACTATTCAATCTTGGCGGTGGGAACCCTGCCGCGGGGGTAGCATCTGCAAGGGAGCGGCGCGGGGGACCCGCTTCCCGGGGTTGGAACCGTTCGAGAGAGGCTGTTCCTCCGTGGTGGTCCGGTCTTCTCCGGTTGGGCTGCTGACCGACCCAGGGCCTTGACTCATGTGCCCTGCGGGCCGGACCAGTAACCGTGAACCTTAATTATGATAAACGAGGGCTTCGAGTTGTTCTACAGGCTAGAAAGCCCTGAAGATATGGACTTCTCTGCCGTATCTCCCAGAATCCTGGCTCCTCATCTTACTTGCGCCCGGCTTGCGTACGACTGGACGGCGTATTGTGGGAGGGATTTTATGGCGGAATGTCGCCGTCGAAGTTTTGATAAATGACAGTATTTTTCCTGCCCGTAAGAATATTTCGCAGATGAAGAGAGAGATGAAGATGGAGGGAGAAGTCGCAGATAGAGATGGCATACCGATGCAAATGCATCCGCAAGGTCCTGCGCCAAATGATGGCCCGATGCCTCGGATCCGAGAGGTCTAGAATTCGCTTGACGGTGATTTCATTCTCGGCAACAGTCAACACGGACCCAAGTTGCCCGTGAGTCCGTGAGAGACAGAAAACCTCTTGTCTTTGGCTGTTCATTGGGTACCATCAACACCTCGCTCTTGGTTGGTGTTTCTTGATGGCGTGTGTCCTTCCTTGAACTTCTAAATGCGAGCCCTATGCGTGGATCACGCACCGTGAGCACTTCAAACACATCGGTACCAAGTTACCAAGTTAGGGATCCAGGTCGTGGGAACCCCTGGCAGATGTGTTGTTCATGTGCTCGTGCGAACTGGAGCTCTCAACTAGTTCGCACCCACAATGCCTGACTTGAGCCTAATGTACGAATATCCGTCCAGAGTGCACACACTTACCATTCCGCCGGTGCTTCTGATCTGCAACGATAGTGTATGGGCTGTACGCGCGCCAAGCAGGGCGAATCTTTAAAGACCTCTTGTGGGGCGTTCTTCACCGGCCACAACTTAATATTAGCAGCCATACCCAGGGCAATTTCGACGCCTCGCATTTGCAGTGCCGCATCGAAGCATGCGGAAGCAAGGGTCTGCCACACCTCCGCAACAGATAATGGTGTGCGTGTGAGACGTGGGGGAGAGAAAGCTCTGCGCATCTTACTTAACAGTGTGGCTGTCCTGGCCCCCCTTTCGGATTGAAGAAGCGTTGGAAGGTCTTCTCGAATCCTTTCCAGCCCTCCGAGCGCCCATCCAACTCCCTCCAACGCCATGGGCTGGACGTACGGCGCTCCAGACGACACGCCGACCGATGGCCCACGAATCACGGCAGTGACGACCACCTTCACGTCAATTGCGCTCATCCTCGTCTGCTTGCGGTGGTATGTCAGGACAACTGTGGTCAAAGCGGTTGGCAAAGGTGAGTTTACTCAAACCGCGATCTGCGGGACCAGGGGAGCACGGTCGACTGACGCGCAGGCGAACCAGATGACTGGGTTATCATCGTATCTTGGGTATGCTCACATCGAACTCTATCTCGTTGCCACGTGAAGCTGACCTTTTGATCACAGCTTGGAGCATGCGGCTACACCGTCTGCAGTGTAATTCGTACGTCACCGTCGGCGATGCCGTCTGACCCCTGAAGCTAACAGAAACAGAGACAAAATGGGGTCTTGGTATCCACGTCATTGAGGACATGCCAACAGAGAATATCCTGCATTTTGGAAGGGTCAGTAGCTGCGTGCCCTGATTTGGAAGATGTCGCTGATTTGTAACAGTTACAATTCATTGGGGGTCCTTTGTAAGCTGAACCCTTCACGGCTCATTAAACACAACGGGAGATCGGCAGAACTGACGATAAGCTTCTAGCTACGTGCTTGGCATTTGGGGGTTCAAGATGAGCTTGCTGTTCTCTTACCTTCGTTTCTTCCCGCAAGGAGCATACCGCATTGCCACTATCATCGTTGCCGTAGCTGTCACGATGGGTCATATTGCTTTCATTTGCGTTTTCATCTTCTTATGCACGCCTGTGAGGATTCAACAAATGCCGCCATATTCTTCTAGCAACCTACTGACCCGTTTATTATAGGTCGAGAAACAATATGACCCTTCAATTCCTCCTGAGGTTGGACATTGTGTCGACGCAATCACCTTCTACTTGACGTTCTCTTCCCTGACTATCGTCTTCGACGTTATCATGTACGGCCGTTCTTCACCCTAGCCCCTGACGTTGTCATATTGCTGACCTTTTCGACAACAGCATGTTCCTCCCCTTCCCAGTTATCCTCAGATCCCAGATCCAGCAGCGAAAGAAGGTGGTACTCCTCGCGCTCTTCATCCTCGGCGTCTTCGTCACCATCATCCAAGCGATCCGAATCCAGACCATCAAGAACTTGGTCAACTACCTCGACTCCGCGAAGAGCATCGAGTGGTCCGTCATCGAGAACGACATCGGCATTATCATCGCCTGCGTACCGACACTAGCTCCGCTAGTCAAGTACTTCGCCGAGAAGAGCCGGAGCAGCACTGCCGGCGCATCACGTACCAAGAACTCGAAATACGCGCTGCAGACTTGGAGGACGGGGCGGAGCGGCATGCAGCCCCTTAGTGCTGGGGTCGATAGGCATGCTTCGATCAGTGCTACGCGCACGACGAAGCCGGATGATAGCACGGAGAACATCCTAGTTCAGGAGCCATCGGGAATCACGAAGACGACAGCCATCCAGGTTTCAACGCAGGACGGATGGTCAGACGTGGAGGATAAGAACAGTAATCATCACGCGTAAGGAGGTACACAGTTTCAAATATGAATCACGACGTCTACTGGAAGACAATGCCTGCTAAAGTGCATGGCACCGCAGTTCATCGAATGCCAGAAATGGCGTAAATATAGATGTGTGTGTGTGTGTGTGTGTGTTCAGTGGAACATGTCGCTCTGAGGTATGTCTAGTATGCAAGGAAAATAACAAATATCTCGCGACTAAAAATTGCAAATGAATTCCGGAACATGAATTGCACTTCTTGATGCAGCCAGTGGGAGAAGCCGCCTTCATCTTTCTCCTTGGTCATGCTGTATTTCGTCCATAGAAAGTCCTTTATGAAGTGTCCGCAAATACTCATCGAACCTCTTTGTCTCGTCTATAACCGTCCTGAGATGCACATACTCCATCGGGCAATCTTTATAGGAAGCTAATTGCCGAGCTGTCGAAATTGCGTTTCGAATTTCCCTGCCATTGAGGCTTTCTTCGGCAAGTTCGTCAAGGTGTTCCGAGATTTGCGAAACGTTGATGCCACGCTCCTTAGAAGTCGTGGACTCTCTGATCCGTGTGTCCACTGATTCCAGGCGTCGGAGGAAGTTTTCCCATACCTTCAGTCGCTGGTTCCTGTCAAGGTTCTTGTACCTCAATGTAAGTTGTAGCCTGGATTTGAAGGCCTCGTCGAAAGTCCCAACGCGATTCGTTGTCAAAATTATTATCCCTATTCACGCTTAGCTATGAAGTTCAATAGAATTTGGAGTGAGTGAATTACCTTCGTAGTATTCCAAAAACCTTAGAAACGCTGGATTGACTGTTTAGTACAGGGGTATTTTAAGATGCTTTCAGGAAAAGCAGCGCACACCTGATACTAAAGCATTTCTCTCAATACTTGAAATTGAGCGCTGCTCTAGGAAAACGTCGGCTTCGTCAAGGAGAACAACTGAAACAGTCAGGCTACAGCTGGTGATGAGAGTGAAACGCCCAATGGTTCCGGCTCACCGCAATTCCATGCCTTTCCGAAAAAGGACACTTTTTCTAGATACTATTCGTTAAATCAGTGAATTAATACTTTCTGTGTCCAAGAATTATTGAACCTTTTCTACTTCATCAGCTCTCGTGCCGATGTCGCCGCAAGTTACCCTATAGCGCGGCCTTCTTGCAACCTCAGCGACACTACTTAACATCAGCCTCGGGAGCAGAACAGAGCGCAAACATGGTTCAAACCTTTAGGCTGTCAATTTCTTTCCACTGCCAGGTCCCCTGATATATAATTGAATCAGTAACTATTCTTTTGAAGCATGGGACTTAACTATAGTTATTACCCGTGAAGCAGAATGCAAAGTCCGTTGCCCTTGCCTTCTATCAAGTCAAGGTTCTCCTCTTCTCTCAACGTATTTGTCACAACAGCTTTCACAAGATCTTTAGTGTTTGGGTCAATGACCAAGTCCTCGAAGGCTTGATCATTCCACTTCACATCTTGCATGAAAGATACCCTCAATGTCTCTATATGCGAGTTAGTAGAGAGGCTTTGTGTAAGGGGCTGGCCCCTAGGCTTGTTCAGCGTAGAGGTGCCGTCGATTGACTATTCTAAGCTGAAGAAGGAAGAAAGGACTTTACAAGGGTAGGCACCTAACAGCGGTGAAGCAGGCCGGGTTAGGCGGCGTACTGCG